AGGAATGGAGACAGGAGAGCTTCTCCCGGTATCCTCTCATACTAGACAAGATCAGTTTGCACTGATTTTAACATGGGATCAGTATTGCAAAGCTGCTCTTGTTGCGCACACAATTTCTCATGATACCATTCCCATTTGAGAGCCACCATGCATTAAGTAGCAGGAAGACATGGCTGACCCATGCTTCCAGTGTGGATATTGTTTGAGCACCCATAAAAATGTAACACGTTAGGGCCCCATTTTACACATTATATTGATTTGTTTAGAACATTTGTATGCCACCTCTCCAGATACCTGTTTAAGGTGGTAACAAATAAAAATTAAATCAATAAACGTTAAATCAATAATACAGCAAAATTAAAAGCAGTAGCAAAACAGTGATTTTGATGTATAAAATAAAAAACAATATATTATGTGCACTCTCGGGAAAGATGTAACTAATCCCACACGTGTGTACCTGTAAAATAATGCATATACAAACATTTATTTATTATTTTATAAAGTTTATATCCCACCTTTCTGTTGTCACAAGGCGCGTGCTAATTTATCAGTGGTGGTGCTACATATAAGACATTCTGTGGGTACTCCCATAGGATTCACTCAAGCCAATAGGGTGTAATTTGTAGGCAGCCAATGGCAGAATGTACTCAGCAGATTTTCCGCTGTTAGTGAATGTTTAACTGACATTTTTGCTATGGCTTTTATTGCAAAGATGAATTCTTCCTTTCCCATGCACATATTTAAACCAAAAGTACAGTTTTTGGAAAATTCTCAGGTACTGTAATCTATTTTTTGGTTAGATTTTCTTGTTTTTATAGTGAGTGAAATTCAAAACCAAAAGCATTTGGCGTAAATACATTTTGTTCCACTTCCTTTACATTGAATTCAAATATTGCACTTAACTAGTATTTATATTCGCCTGAAAATGGGTCTTGCTTCTGTCATTATACTATACATAAACATTATTATTATTAGATTATTTTTTAAAAATTCAGTATGCTATTTAACAAGCTTATATAGTGTAGTAAAAATGCAAGGTGTACAAATTTTCCCCCTTAAATGCATCCATTTGTCCTGTTTAAGGTTTCAGGTTCTGTATAACTATACTCCTAGGAACGAAGATGAATTGGAGCTCAGAGAGGGAGATATCATTGATGTGATGGAAAAGTGTGATGATGGATGGTTTGTGGGTATGTTCATTTTACATTTAGTTGTGCTTTAGGATATATGTGCGACCTCAGAGACTGCATAGCTGGATGGAGTGCTGATTTAGAGCTGGAGAATGAGACAATACAGTCACTGCAATACAATTAATCCTATTGGCAACAGTTTTCAGTATGAACTACCATGCCTTTTGGACAGAATTTAGCATCCATTAATTCCTCTACCTACAATACATACAGGGTTTTTTTTCTGGAGGAACGTGCTGGAATGGACTTCCAGAACCTCCTCAACAAAATTCTTTTTAAAATGTTTAAAAATTCATGAGTTTTCAGTATACAGACTGAAAACTTCATTTCCCTCTTGAGAGTTCTGGCACCTCTGTTTTTTTCTTCTTAAGCCCTAAATACATATCATTCCCATTCAGAGTTCTGTAGATGCTCTTCACACACAGTGCTCTTACACAAGGTCATCACCAAGGTTCTGAGGTCACTCTGCTGGAGACCATCAAGTGATCTGCCCATATCTCACCTCCCCGTATTCCCACAAGCATTTGCACTTGAGCCCACTAGCGTCCCTCGTGGTCCAGCAGCACATCCGCCTTTATAGATGGTTTATGGTATTAAGCTCTGAGGAGGAGGAGGAAGAGATAGGCATGTCATATGAGGTGTGCCAAGTCAGAGTCAGCACATGCTTACCTTTCTGCTTCCATTTGGGGAAACTTACCCAATCTGGAATCAGAATTCCCTTGTATCACAAAAATAGCAGCAATCTTCAAAGGCGTGAAATTGGTCAGGGCCTTGACAACTGCCTGACCATACCACCAGGTACAAACTAGTGAAATATTTGTAGTGGCTTAAAATGAACTATATCACTTGCTGTTTTAATAAGCAAGCTGTTGTTATAATCTGTGCCCAAGCTACATGGATCAGAACGATTTTTTAATTAGATTAACAGTTTCTCCATGTAATGGGCTATGTTCCAGTGAAGCTTGTATGCGTGTGTGGGGAAGGACTATAGATGCTATTATAGGTTTCTTTGGGACTTTATCTTCAGCCACTTGTGTGATACAGACTAAACTCAACCACTGTGGCATCTTTGTGATGTCATGTGCTTCATGTTTTCTAAACCAGATAACCTTGATGATGCTAGTAAAATATTCTAAAATATTTAAAATAGCCCAGCTTCACAGAGTAATACTGCTACTACTGCTGCCATGTTTCACTTATTACTTCTACTTTCAGGAACCTCAAGAAGAACAAAATTCTTTGGTACTTTCCCTGGAAACTATGTCAAGAGGCTGTGAAATTTTGTTTCATTTATTTTTCCCCCCCTACTTATTTATGCTGCATCTCTGCAACACCACATCTGCATATAAAGCTGCTAGAAAAACATGCTCCACCGGCCTTCCGTTTTCCTGCTTTGCAGTTCCGAGTAGAAGCCATCTAATTCATCTTCACCACCACCCATCTTCATCTGCCAGCCCAGCAGTATTACCGTTAACGTCTACGATGGGATATTTTATAGGAAATGAAGAATTAATTCAACATTTAGTACATTTTTTTCCTTGCATCACACTTTCTCTGCTGCCTTCCAGTTTGAAATACAGAAATAAGACAAAAAAGTTTAGGGTCAGCATGATGCTTCAAGGAGACCCATATTATTTGGAGTATTCACAATACTATCCTTAAGGGGGAAATGTTCGCCGCTTAGATACATCAGATTGCATTTTTTCCTACTTTTTAATTGTTGTTTGAGATTTTCATGTTCCTTTTATGCACATGGTACTTTCATTTCATTGTGTCACAGGTATGCCTCTTTTACTTGGCTTCAGACAGTATTGTACAGATGCTGAATGCGCAGTTGCATTTCCTGTACTGGCACACATTGCGGCCTGAAGTTGGGGTGCATGCATCTCTCTGTGCGAAGCAGGTGCTCCCCATGCAGTGCAGGGAAAATGTGGAAGTCCTCATTTCATACCTTAATGATGAGTGTAGGAAAAGAAAGAAACAAAAACACATCTCACTTTCTGCACTGATGTCTGTTAAGGCCCTACATAGAGTCTCTCTTTGTGCAGAGAGGTTGGTACTACCAAAGAAAGTACATTCCTATTCCCATCACTAATGATATGTGTGAAATGAGAAACACACTAATATATCCTATATTTGTACATATCATTAATATCTGAAGCATCTCCAAAGGAAATTGAGTTTACTTCTTGACACTAAGGAAGTGTCTTGAAAAATCATTAACAATTATGAGCCAGGCCAAGGGTGAAAGTATTTATATACCCTGTTTCCCCGAAAATAAGACCTACCCCAAAAATAAGCCCTAGCAGGATTTCTATGCATTTGTGGTATAAGCCCTAGTGTGTCTTCTTGAGAAAAAATAAATATAAGACAGTGTCTTATTTTTGGGGGAACATGGTATATATACCTTTGATGTCATACATTTCTCTGCTATATCAAAAATAACATTGTGAGAGCAACAGAGAATCTGAAGATCTGGTGTTTGAAATTCATCTTTTTAACAAAGGTTTTTTGGGGTAAGAAGAGTTTAATACAACATTTTTTTTAACATGACTGAACACAAAATATCCACAATAGCTTCACATGCTGATAATTTGCTTCTTATAGAGGAACATAAATTATACATCAAAATTATACTTTTTCCTAGCAATATAGTATTTTTTTAAAAGTCACGAACATGAAAACTGATATATGTGGGTGGATTTTTTAGTCAGGAAATAGAATCAAATATTTGAACACAATTTTCATTTTCCTTATGCAAAGTTAGGCATAAATAGCATAGGATGGGAAACACGAAACTCGCCAGGTCTATGGCTTTATGTAAAACAGTTCAGAGTTGGTTTTGCTGGCACCTTTTTGAATAAAACATTTACTGCTTATCTTTTGTGGTAAAGAACAAATCTTACAAATGTTTGTAGTCTTGTAGCATTTTGTACATATGTTTTGCTTTTGTACAGAGCCATTTATTGATGGTTTTTTTCAAAGAAAAAAATCACAATGCTTATTTGATCTTCAGCCTGCCCCCATCCCATTAATAAAACATTTCATTTTCTTTACTTGCCCTCCCATGTTTATAAGCACATTTGGATAGTGCAATTCTGTAAAATAGCATTTTATGCAATAATTATTATTATTATGAACTCTAATATGGTTTTACCAGCCAAATCTAAAAAAATGTACATATGTTTTTATTATGGAGCAATGTCAATAAGCCAGATAAAGAAACATCTTTGTGCAGCATACCTTTATTACTGCAAATTTCATGGCAAAAGCTTTATATTTCAAAGGCTCTCCATTATAAACTAGATGTGCATGCAGCTTTGCTGTGAGATTAATACCTATCTTTGATGCCATTTATGATGGAAGACTTCTATCTGTTGCCTGTGATATTTTAAAAAAGCACTGTTTCTACTCTGTATCTGATTTTATTAGAACAAGTTTTTCATACCTGACTTTCAGGTACTTGACTCTGAATTCTTACATGCAAAAGGGTATCTGTGTTGTTTTTTTCCCTTGAATAGACTTCTAATAAAATTTGCTTGGAGTATACTGTTGTGTCTATTTTATTAGCACCTTTACAGAACTTAAAATGTAAACAGATTGGTATTAGAAAACTGAGAAGCCACACTGAAGATGGTGGAATACTGTAAGTACCTTTCTGCTCATCCAGGTTTGGGAACATGATTATAGTCCATATAGATTGGTAGTGTGCAGACATAATCACACGGGTGATTTGCAAAACCATGGGACAGGGACTTTATGAGGACTAATATCACTCTGGACTATACAGGAGATATGTACCCTGTGTTAAAGGGAAAAACCCTGTAAATGTTGAACTCACTTTTCTAGCAGCTGTATTAATCATATCACCAAAAAACATCCTGGTTGCATATAGAATTCTGATGTCAGGCAAAATTGGCCCTGGTTTGCATGGGGGGCAAATGATTATGACCAGGGGTCATTTCGTAGAAAAAGAGCTAGGGGGACTCATTAGCATAACTCATTAGCATATGCCACACCCCCTGACATCACCGGAAGTGTGTCCTCCCCACAGCCGGCGGCGACCTCCAGCGGGCACCAGCAGGGAGCTCCCGGCCCCGCCCTCCCGCACCTCACCCGGGGGGATGGCGTCCCCCCGCATCCCCCCCCCCAATGACCCCTGATTATGACTAGTTCAGTGCCAAGCTTTCCCTGCACTTGCCCAAGAATATAAATAAAAAGGCTAACAAGAAACACTGAGGTAAGGTGGTATTCTTGAATACAGAATTAAATAAATAGAATATTTATAGAATGGAATAGGTGATTTAATTGGTTGTCTTAAATACATAGGATGGAAATACCTACTCCTTCACATTGCGCACAGCTGATCCCCAGGTTGGGAGTGGGGAAAATTTATTTTATTACATCATTTATACCCCACTTTTCTCTCCAAGGGGGCCCCAGAGTGGCTTACAAAATTCTCCCCTTCTCCATTTTATGCTAACAAACCTAACAGTAAACAGTGGCTTAAGCTGTTGTGCTCACACACACACACACACACACACTAATGTCCATTTCTGCAGTACAGAAATTCCCTGCATCCACATTTTTAAAACTGTGTTATGTTAAATTTTCCAAAGTTTTCTCCTTCTTACCCTGCATTTTCGGAACTTGCTAAAACTGGGGATTCCAAAAAATGCAGGGTAAGAAGGAGAAAACTTCAGGTTTGAGGAAAAATCTACTGTGGAAAATTTCACATAACTTACAGTTTAAAAAATGTCAATGTAGGGAATTTCGGTACTGAGGAAATGGTCACTGTCTGTTCTAGAGCACTGCACTGATATAGTTGGCTCCCGGATTCCAAAGTATTCCCACACTGGAATAGGTCTGCATCCCTGACCTTAACACAGATATGCCGGATGCGGAAATTGTATGAACGGCAACTGTGCAAAGAGCTCCATTCAAAACAATGTCACTTTAAAGGTGACATTCATATGATGCTACCCACAGCCTATTGTCACACCTAGGCCAAGTTCAGACTAGCAGTTTGTCCTGATATAGGCATGTGTGAGGAACGTTTCACAAGCAGATTAAAGGGGCCGTTCACACAGGGACATCTGTCCGGCATTCCCTACCCGTACTCAACTCGTCGCCTCCCGGGTTTAAAAGATACCTGGTGAAAGTGGTAGCAAACCCTGGAGAGCTCGTTTATCCCACTTCATTCCGCTTCCCAGAAGTGTGAATGCTAACCACTAAAAGCCGGGAACAGGCCATGTTAATAATGTGCGCCGTCTGTTTACACTGACTGACCTAGCCTCACTCTGGCACCAGGAAGGTGCTGGTGATTGCCTTGAAGAGGGGGTAGTGATGTGGCTGGATATGCCTACGGCCCACAGCAGCTGGATCCTGCCCTATTTGCCGCTGCACCTAGGCGCCCATGCGCCTAAGCCTCTGCCACGAGGAAAATGCCACTTACAGCTATGCCTCCAGCCCAACAGTGTGAACGCCTCCTCCCGGTATGCTCCTGCATCAGTCCGTGCAGTGTGACCAGAAAAAACCTGGAACACTTTGTTCCGGCTCTTTTTTGCAATGACTCCCTCCCGCTTCAAACTGCCAGTATGAACTCAGCCTTAGAGTTTCAGTTTGAAAATTAATATAACATGCTTTGCACACTTCCCTTTAAATGGGAGATCCTTTCACATACTTCTGTATACAAGGTTGCTGTGTTAAATTTTCTTGAAATACATACAAGGTGCTATTGTATCACTTTCAACACGAGCTAGCCAAATGGGAGCACTTAAATGTTATCTAACTGCTGGCACAGTATCAGGCAGATCCAATTAGAAAGATGTCAGTGTGTGCAGTGTGCATGATTCCCTAGCCCAGTCCAACAGATGCAGCTGTACCAATTATGTCAAGTTAGTGAAATCATGGCTCTTGCTGTTACAGCCCCTAACATTACATGCAAACAATCCCTTGGTTGCAGCAAAGTATTAGGCTTTGGAATGGGCAGATGTCAGGCAGTGTGCATCTCAGCAGTGACAAAACATAGCATCATGCTAAGTTACCCCCCCCCTTATTTTACATCCCTGACCATGTTCTGTAATATGCCATCCTAGTTAACTTCTGTGACTTCTTACACGTGTTGTGACTTAAGGTCAGTCATGGCCTTTGTTCCTTGACGGCTGCATCATGACTATTTCTAAGAATGAATAAAGCAAATTGGATGGTTGAAACCAGTCATCAGGCAGATTTAACTTTAGCATCACCCCCCTGCCCCGCAGAAAAACACAAAAATTAAAACTAAAGTCCCCATATACAGATGCAAGTTGTTGCATTAAGTAATGGGGCCCACAAGGAACTGGGGGGGGGGGGAGATCATTTGGAAACCCCATTCCACTCCCACAGCCTCCCTCTCCAGGATTATCTAAATTCTCTGATGCCTTCCTTAGACTAACTTCACCCTTCCCTCTTTTCCTGTAACTGACACATTGCTGTTTTCAACATTCTGCCTCTGGTGAACCATTTTGTGTCCGCATCTAACTGTTTTTAAAAAGATTTTTCCCTTTTTGCTTGATGTATAGAGTAGTGTTTTTCTGCATACTTGGGGATTCCTCCAAGTATGCAGAGACCTTTACCTTGTCTTTGGATGGCCCAGTTTTGCTGCTTTGATCACCTGCATGAAGACCAGCCAGTTCTCTATTAGAATAATATATACCTGTGTGAGCCAGTCATTAGAATCCAGAGAGTAATAGGGGGAGGACAGTCTGGCTTCTGTCACCAGCCAGCCAAATCAGGGCCATTGGGAGGCCATTAACACTTTGCTTTCCTTCCCAGGAAGAACACTGTTGGAAAAATAGTCAAAAATGCTTACATTACTCAGAGTTTCAATGGATCTTGCTTCACTGAATGAGGAGACTTTCTTTGTGATTAAAATACTTTATTTCTAAGGGTAAAGGGTATACAGGAAACCTACAAATCAACAAACATCTAAGAGCTACATTTCTAGCTGCTTACTTCTCAAAGCATAGTCACACACTTCTAAAACAGTAATGGAGAATCTCTCCTCCTTCTCGACCCCTAAAAGGAAATCACCTGAAAACAGTAACCAATCATTGTTTGTAAACACACTCAGATTCGCTGACTTTTTCCACATTGGCTGTCTGCCAGGTTTTCCTTCCAGGTCATTCTAAACAATAGCATAGAAAGGTAAACAAGTTAACCCTATAATGACTGGATTGTGAGACCTTGCAAACACATACATTTCCAACAAACACAACAGGAAGGGAAAGACCAGACCAGCCCTAGGCACCAGCCA